TGAGGAATGGAGTGAGTACTTATACCTTGTATAGTGGCCTCTTCTGACTTTACTCTGTTTACTGTTAGTTTTATATTCATTAGAAAGTTAAAGATCCATCTGCTACTTTTCCAGAGAAACTGAGTAGTATTGGATTTATTCTACAGTTGAAGTTACCTTTTTAAGCAAGTTATATAAGATATGTATTAAACTGCATAGATTTCAGGTAGCCTTCTAATTCTACTTACACTTAGGTCACACTTACCTATGTTATATGTACACATTTATTATACACACTCATCTAGTTTTCTTGATTTGTCTTAATAGTTCTTGTTTTATTGCTTTTCTTTCATATCCATGGGGGAAGTCAAATAAGAATCTTTCCTCCGTAAGCCGTAGCGTGTTGTAAAAGTCAACTAAATGCCCGGAACTTAAGGCTAGTTTAACCTACTTTACCTCTCTAGCCTTACTAAAAGAAATATATGTGAACAGTATTTGATAAAGGTGGGAAGTTTTCATAGCATTGTGGATTGAAATGGCATATGATAGAGTTGATAGGAGAGCAATGTGGCAGATGTTGCAAGTATGTCGGAATAGGTCATGTAAGTTACTATAAATGCTGTAAAGGGTCTTTTAGATGATCGTGAGGCTCAGGCTTAGGTTAGAGATCCAGAGGGAGACTCACTTTCGGTAAATGGTGGGTCTTAGAGACAAGGATGTGTAATGTCACCAGCTTGTTTTCAATTATGATGCGGCTTGTAAAAGAAGTAAATGCTAGGGTGTTTGGGAAGGGGTGGGATTAAAATTAAGGAAAATCAAATCTTATAATGGCAGTTGCACAAGTTACTTTGAGTTGATGAACTGTGTTAGGAAGATTTTTAAAGAAAAGTTTGAAAGGAAAGGTTAGTGGACAAGTTTGGGAGGGTGTGTAAAGGTAGAAAGTTGAAAGTGAACATAGATAAGAGTAAGGTGATGAGGGCATAAAATTATTTAGATAAAGAAAAATTGGATATCACATTGGAAAGGAGGAGTATGGAAGTGAATATTTTCAGATATTTGGGAGTTGACTTGTCAGTGGATGGGTTTATGAAGGATGAGGTTAACCATAGAATTGATGAAGGAAAAAATGTGAATGGTACGTTGAGGTATCTGTGGAGACAAAAAACATTCATGGAGGCAAAGAAGGGAATATACAAAAGTATAGTGGTACCGACACTCATATGGGTGTGAAGCTTGGGTTGCAAATGTTGCAGCGAGGAGGTGGCTGGAGGCAGTGGAGATGTCCTGTCTAAGGGCAATGTGTGGTGTAAATATTATGCAGTGAATTCGGAGTGTGGAAATTGGAGGAGGTGTTGAGTTACTAAAAGTATTAGTCAGAGGGCTGAAGAGGGGTTGTTGAGGTAGTTTGGTCATTTAGAGAGAATGGATCAAAGTAGAATGACTTGGAGAGCGTATAAATCTGTAGGAAAAGGAAGGTGGGGTAGGGGTCGTCCTTGAAAAGGTTGGAGGGAGGGGGTAAAAAAGGTTTTGTGGGCGAGGGGCTTAGACTTCCAGGAAGCATATATGAGCATGTTAGATAGGAGTGAATGGAGATGAATGGTTTATGGAACCTGATGTGCTGTCGGAGTGTGAGCAGGGTAATATTTAGTGAAGGGATTCAGGGAAAATTGTTATATTTATACGACCGGACTTGAGTACCGGAAATGGAAGAGTACAGTGCCTGCACTTTAAAGGAGGGGTTTGGGATATTGGCAGTTTGGAGGGGTATGTTATATATCTTTATATATGCTTCTAAACTGTTGTATCTGGGTGCCTCTGTAAAGACATTGATTATGTGTGAGTGAGGTGAAAGTGTTGAATGATGCTGAAAGTATTTTCTTTTTGGGGATTTTCCTTCTTTTTGGGTCACCCTGCCTCGGTGGGAGACGACCAACTTGAAAAAAAAAAGTACTTACTATGTCTGGTATCTTATTTTCATTTCTAAGATATCCTGACATCACATAGGATATACTGTCTATCTCTGTGAGATAAACAGTAGGGTGACCACCCATAAGTAGGGTGATCCCCAACATAAGGAGAAACACATTAAGTATCATTCATTTCATCACTTTTGCAGACATATATTGACATCACAGTTCAGATGACATAGAACTGTGACATCATCACCCATCCTTCAGAGTGCAGAGCCTGTACTTTCAACCTCCAGTTTCCCTGAATCCCTTCATAAATGTTATCTTGCTCACACTCCAGCAGCACCTCAAGTCATGAAAACCACTTGTCTCCACTTCTAACACATCGTTGCTGTATGACCCTGGTGGGTTTAGTGCTTAATTTTCATTATAATAATAATTCTAACACACTCACACAAGCCTGCTTTATGTCCAAGCCCCTCAAACACAAAACCTTTACCCCCTCCCTCCAACCTTTCCTATGATAACTCCTACCCTTTATTCCCTCCATTAAGATTTATACACATTCCAAGTTATCTACTTTTGTTCCATCCTCTTTAAATGTCCAAATCACCTCAACAACTCCTCAGATTTTTCTTTTATATAGACTCTCAAATTCATCTACCAATCTTTGCATCTTTTCAGAATCTGCCAAGAGCTCCTGTGTCATCGGCAAAAAGCAACTGTGATAACTGCCACTTTTTAGATTCTTTATAATGCCACACTTCTCCCCAGCATATTCATTCTCTTACAACTCCATCTATAAACATGTTAAACAACAAGGTGACATCACACATCTTTCTAATACTCACTGGAAAATAATCATATTATTCACAAAGGACCAAGAGTATTTGTAACTAGCCTGACAATAATGCTGACAGACTAAGACCTGAGAGTCAGCCTCAGTCATACACACACCACACAGTCCATCACAATTATTAGGGTTCAGCACTTAGTTTTATAATAATAATCACAATTATTGTATTTATGGGCAAGTACTAAACCTGTAGAGATAATACACTGCATAGGAAATGTCAGGCAATCAGGCCTGATGTAAGGAAGGGGAGGATAGCCCATGTCCTGGGATCAAGAGCCTCTTCACTGTTGCAAGAGACTTGCCACAGTAATGGAGTGCAATTAACTAATGGTTACTACCACCCCTTCCCCTCTTAGCTGTCCCTTAACAGCTTCACCCCTTAAATGAGTCAAAACCCTTAAGTTAATTATTTAAAGTAACAGTTGTTGTGGTACACAACAACCGGACAAGACTGGTCAACCAGTCTTGCCCGGTTGTTGCTACTGGTGGCCCAGGACCAGACTTTGTCTGGTGCTTTCCTGGTTAACCAAGTTGTTGCTACTGGTGGTTCTGATTATTATTATAATAAAAATTAAGCGTTAAACCCATCAGGGTCATACAGCGCTGTTTGGTGGTCCTGAACCAGGCTAGTCTGGTCAGTCAAGTTGTTGCTACTCATAGTTGTGCACTAAGTTTCCACCACAGCCTGGTTGATCCAGTACATACTTGAAATTTCAATTGGACATTACTGGCAGTGAACCAGATGATACAAGATCACATACATAATACAAGATCACATACATAATACTCTGAGTATTAGATGGTTAATGGGGTTTAAAGCGCTGTATAGCCCTTGTGGCTTAGCGCTTCTTTTTGATTATAATAATTAAAGCCAATCTTCTAGGGCCATTAAGGCTACACATGACCTTGTCATCAGCAGAAAATACTTCAATTTTTAAACTAAGGATTAAAATCAACTCTTAGTAAATATACACAGAAATACTCCTTTCAGTGTACACATCCTGTCAGAGGATCTGATAACAGAGGAGAGAGAGAGAGGATGTTTGAGGCAGTGAGGAGTGGAAGGAAGGGGACACAGCTGGGATTCTCAGTCTAGCATGTATTAAACCTCCGGCTGTCATCCACCAAGGTAGGACGACAGTAGTGTGTTGACATCACAATTCAAATGACACTCTGAACTGTGACATCCTCTCTCATCCTTCAGTGCAGACACTGTACTTCCAACCAGGACTAACATCCTTAACCATCTTTCAGTGCAAGCACTGTATCTCCCACCTACAGAACTAATATCCTCACCCATGTTTCAGAGTACAGGTGCTATACTTCCCACCTCCAGAACTGTAACATCCTCACCCATCGTTCAGAGTGCAGGCACTGACTTCCCACTTACAGGACTCAGTCAAGCTAACTGGTTTCCATGAATTCCTCATAGATGTTACCTTGCTTACACTCCAACATGTTGTCATATTATTAATACAGTCAAAACTAAGCATTAAACCCACAAGTCATAAAGTGCTACAGGATCAAATATGCTAAATGTCAAGTCATAAAAGCCACTTGCTTTCACTCACTCTACACAAGCTTGTCGAGTGTTTAAAGCCCCTCATGCTCAAAACCTTCATTTGTTCTCATTGATCTTGCCAATTATTTATAAATTCTGACTGATATAGTGGTTGATCTCAAGTAATAATGGTGAGGATATTATTATTATTATAATAAAAAAAAAGCACTAAACATGGTGAGGATATTGATGTTAGATTACTTGTCACGAGGAAAAGAGCATATACGTATATGAGATACAATCTTGGTCTCTTGTAAAGTTCCTTATATAGTCAGCTCTTATTAAAGCTCCTCTCTAGACAGCCATCTTTGTAGACCTTCTCTACAGAATGTTATCTTTTGCAAGTGCTACTGAACAACATGTACTATGAAGGCCTCTCCATGTACTACTGTAATTAATGTACTTTTTAAATTGTATTAAAAAAAAAAATCGCTACAGAGTAGAGCTTTACAAGAGTGTTGGCTGTATCACAAGTGCAGTGAAGTGATGCATTAGACACCTATGCAACATCTGGGTGTCTACTTTGTAGATGTTTGTTCATCCAGTGACTTTATCAACACAATACTTGGATATAATGTCAACATTGTACAAATATATACAGAAGGCAGTAGAAGACGAGGTAATCAGTTCCCTCAGCCTAGGAGCAGGTGAAACAAACGAATCATAAAACAAGGATAGTGCACTGAAACAAAGATTTCACTTTTATTTTATTATAAAAAGTAGTAGGTGGGTTTCAGAATACCCTTCAAAATTTACCAACCAATACATCAACACAATACAGGAAAAATCAAATTTCACAAATGCTGGGGTCCATTCTGAAGTTGATGTTGGTCCAGGATGGGTCTTTGGGTCTGTCCTGAAGTTGATATTGGTCCAGGATGGGTTTTTTGGTCCATCCTGAAGTCAATGTTGGTCCAGGATGGGTTTTTGGGTCCATCCTGAAGTTAATGTTGGTCCAGGATGGATATTTGGGTCTGTCCTGAACTTCACAATAGTCCAGAGCAGACAAAAATCTCTGAAGTTTCTTCTCTACATAGCAGGTTAGCTGTGAAATATAACTTATTCTTTCGAGAAAGACAATGATGAAAATTTGAATTCTGTAAGAAATATATACTACACTATCCTCTTCCAGACAACTTAAACTCATTCAACCACTTTGCTTTCATGTTGTAAAGTGCATACCAAGTGTTATCAACCTGTAGGGCACTGCAACAGTGAAATGCACACATCAATATCGCTGCTTCGGGTCTACGCTGCTTCCCCCTCGCCAACAATGTGTGGCATGTCCTTAATGCCCTCCTTAGAAATAATTCGCACTCGAAATTTAGGAAGGTTGATGATGAATCTCCTCTTGATCTCTGCCACGCACTTCTTCAAGAGTTCATATGCTTCCTTCTCGTTCATGTCTGTGTGGTAGAGGCACCAATATATTAGCAAGAATTATATAACAGTCAATGGAAATTCCTCAATGTAAATAAAACATAAGTCACAATTTTGTGAATGAAACAATGAAAAGTAAACCACCACCACTCTTCTGTGCAGGGATCATTATTATTAACACCACAGTAGGGTGACCTCCCTCTAAAAAAGGAAAAAATTCACCATCATTCATACAATCACTCTTTTGCCAGCAGTGGTGGCATCACAGTTAAGATGACCACAATGAAGAGAGCTTGAGTTACTTGTGACTGGTATTTGCAGTCTGAGCACAGGTACTATAGCTGGGCCAGGAGCTGTAATTTGACCTTTACAACCACATATAGGTGAGTACATTACACAAGGTAAATGAGTAATTAATAATCACCCAGTTTAACCCTTTGAGGGTTTTCGTCGTACTAGTACGTCTTACGCGTAGGGGTTTTTGACGTACTAGTACTCATAAATTCTAGCGACCTCAAATCTAGTGGGAGAAAGCTGGTAGGCCTTCATATGAAAGAATGGGTCTATGTGGTCAGTGTGCACAGTCTAAAAAAATCCTGCAGCCACACAGTGCATAATGAGAAAAAAAAAACTTTTTCCATTTTTTTTTAATAAATCAGCGACTTTGCAGTGTATTTTCGTATGGTATTTATTGTTGTATTCTAGTTTTCTTGGTCTCATTTTATAGAATGGAAGACATATTACTGAAATTGAGATGATTTTGACTGGTTTTACAATGAAAGGTGCCTTGAAATTGAGCTCAAAGTAGCAGAAATGTTCGATTTTTACCAAACTTCAAAAGTAAACAAATCGTGCCAAGCGTGCAATACACGTCAACTGGTGAGTCTAATATTCTTTCACAAGTGCACCAATAATATTTATACCATTTTTTACACTAATGCAGTAGTCTGCATAACAGTAAATCTTATATTTTTTGTGAGAATAAAAATTCAAAGTGGAAAGCAAAAGAATATAAGAGGGGCCTTGAGACGTGACTAGTGACTAGAGGAAATGTCATTTTAGTGCCAGGAATGTCTTTCTTGTTTATTCTGGACCCTATTCCGAAATTGGCATCTTTTGAAATTTGTGTGAAATTGGCAAAATTGCTAAATTCTGACCACTGTACTGGATAGTTGAATTTATAAATGGTGGTTTCTTGCACCCATTCGATAGAAAAAATGGAGTTCTAGCGAAATATTCATGTTTTTTGTCGACTAGTACAGTGAAATTGGCCGAAAATGGGGCTCAAAGTGGGCAAAATCGCCGATCCGTAAACATCGCCGAGACCGCTAACTTTGCGAGAGCATAATTCCGTAAGTTTTCTATCAAATTTCAAACTTTTGGTGTCGTTATGATCGGGAAAAGATTCTCTATCTTTTCATAAGAGAAAATAATTTTTTTTTTTTTTAAATTTGGCCGACCCTGAGAACGAGTTTCGGAGAGGTCCTGTCGACCCTCAAAGGGTTAAGTAAGCTGTATTATGACCGAGCTTAGTACAGTTGGGAAGATGTTGCAACACCTCTACCCCAATCATAATAATAATATTTTCTCCTCTGATCTCTCTACTAGTTAATGCTGAACAAACATTTAATTGATATACTGTATTTGGGTACCAACCACTGGTTAAAAACCATCAACTCTAAAGAATGACACACTGAGCAACCAACTTAAGTCTTACAGCAGCCTTGTTCACAATGTGTATTATACATAACCATCCCTTGTACAGTGGAACCTCAAATATCGAACTGCTCCCAGCTTAGCCAATTATGTAAGTATATTTTTGTAAGTGCTTTTATAAGTGTATTTTTGAGGGTCTGAAATGAACTAATCTAATTTACATTATTCTTGATGGGAATAAATTCATTCGGTAATGGCACTCGAACAGCCATCTGGAACTAAGAAAGTTCGATATTTGAGGTTCCACTGTACTGGGGTTCTTCAGGGAGCAGACACCTTCTGTGTTATAACTTGTTTATAAGTTGGAACACCAGAAACAGAACTTGAAAGTAAATTGGAACACAACTTTTCACAAGTGAAAAATCCCATGTATATTTTGTGCCTGAACAAATACTTTTAAAAGATGTAAATGAAAGAATTTAAATGAAAATGAACTACATAAATACACTGATAACATGTTAATGTGAACACTACTACCATAACCCAGACATACCACCAGGCAGGTATACTCTGTTTATGACAGTAAAGATGGTACCAGACATACCACCAGGAGGGTATACCTTGTTTATGAGAGTGAAGATGCTACCAGACATACTCACCGGGGGTATACTCCTTGTCCATGACAGAGAGGGTGAACATACCACCATAACCAAAGGCATAGTACTTGACAGGGATGGAGGCTGCCAGATAGTCCATATAGAAAAGTTCCGTTTTATTGGTGTCCGGATCAACTCCACCCATCAGTAAGTTCACAAAATACGGCTCCTGTAAAGAACATACTATAACAGAATAAGTTTATCAAAGTAATTCTTAACCAGAATGCTGAGTGTATTATGAGATGGATGAAGGGTGATAATTACCACATACCCATCCTGTGTTTAATAATTAAAAGGTTACTGCCATACACAGTATAGGGAACAATAAAGCTAAGATATACCTTTGATGAGTTTCGAGAGTCTTTCTACTCCCAGAGCCCAGCCATGGGCCAGGTTTGTTTGGTGCTAGCCTGGTTTTATTAATGTCACCTTTGCACCATTTATAACCTTTCTGGTATATTTTTAAATGTTTATACAGTAGTGCACTGTATGTATATTGTAATAAACAGAATAGATTAAATCAGCTCTAATATACATTATTTAGGTATGCATACTTGTCAGAGAGCCTGTCGTAAGTCTGAGTCGTTGGTAAATGAGTACATCACTAAGTGAAGAGAGGCTGTACTTAATTGAAGTGATGAACATGACATTTGTTAACAAGTAACAGTTACGAAACCGAAACTGTCTTGCAGAAAACTGAAATTTCAGAGCAAATTAACATTTATGAAAACCGGTTAGCCAGACTTGAGTCCTGGAGGTGGGAAGTGCAGTGCCTGCACTCTGAAGGATGGGTATTGACGTGCTGCAGTTTTTGAAGTGCCGTATAGGCATGTCTCTGGCAAGACAGTGATGTAATGAGTAATGATGAGTGTGTTTCTTCTTTTTCAGGTCACCCTACCTTGATGGGAAATAGCAGATGCATTAAAAAAATAAAAATAGTACTTGAAAATATTGTAGTATGTTCTGAAGGTGGGAAACACAGTGCCTGCACTCTGAATAATAGGTGGAGGTGGGAAGTACAGTGCCTGCATTCTGAATAATAGGTGGAGGTGGAAAGTACAGTGCCTGCACTCTGAAGGATAGGTGGAGCCATTACAGTTCAGAAGAACATTGTCTGAATTACAATGTCAGCACACTTCTGGCAAGACAGCAGATTGAGTAAACAACTGTGAAAGTGTTTCCTCTTTTTTGTTGGGTCAGTATTGTCTTAAGAGAGTAGTGACCCAGCAAGACAATATTGACTCGTGACACTACTAATTCAACAAGACAATAGTGACCCAGCAAGACAATATTGACCCAGCAAGACAATACTAACCTAACAAGACAATGCTAACTTAAAACAACATCAAAGATGGTTGACACAAACCCACTACCATCATAGCATGCTCCTCGCTTAGTGATGAATTCGTTTACCGATGTGGTCTTAGGAACGGAACCCTGTCGTTAAGTGAGGAGAGGCTGTACTTATAACAGCTACCATTTGGAAGGAAATGCTACAAAATAATGATATAATGGAAAACAAGACAAATGTAGTATAATTCGATCCTTTGTTGACAATGTTTCAACTGCCCAGTGAGCTTTATGAAGTTACAACTGTGAGTGACTTGATAAAGCTCACTGTGTAGGTGAAACACTGTTAATATAGGCTTGAAATATACAGTGTTTGTCCCTCTTTATTTCACCTACCACATATTACCATCCTACATATATGGTAGGTGATCAACATTTGAGTAAATCAACACTAGAGGAGTAAACACAGTCATAAGACTATATTAGAGTTCACTACGATGATTAAACATTTGTAAGACTACATTAGAGTTGATGGTGACTGACCCTAGAACGTAGGTGGGTAGCCAGTGTGTGGCGGGTGAAGTGGACAGCAGCAGCGGGTGGCAGCTCGTAACCATTACGCATCTTGTACAACTGAATGTTCTTAGCAATGTACTCAGCAAACTGTGTAGTGTCTCCTGCCTCTCCTGATACAGCCATTACTAAGTTCTTGGAGAGAGCCAGCATCTTGTCATCATCTGTTAAGGAAAACAATTGTCCTTCAGTATTTAAACTACTGGGAAAATAACTTAACAGTGATGAATGCTAACAGCAAAGAGTATTAACAGTCAAGCGCACATATACACTCAGCAGTGAAACTGTCATCATATTTTACACTTGCTAGTGAAGTTGCCATCATATGATACACTCACTGGTGTACTAAACTATCAGAATTAATAATGAAGGAGCAATAAAGCAACTCGCAGTGTATAACTCACCGGACTTCTGCACCATGATGCTCTGGAGGTGACTCATGTCTGTCGCCATCAACACAAAGTTGTTGAACTTGACGCCTGCAATAGAACAACTTGGTCACCAACTATAATGTTTGTTTGGTGATAATTAACTAGCAGGTAGAAAAGCTAAGAACTCTAGTGTATGATTGTTTCCTATAAAATATATAGCCCACCACAGTCTGATTCTTAGACATAACCCTCAACAGTTACAATTCTCAGAACTAAGTTGCAATGGTTACAAGTCTTGGAACTAAGCCACAATACAGGAGGGCTCCATTTTTGTGGCTGTTGGTTCCAGACCCTCCGACAATAAGCAAAAATCGCCAGCAAGTGGAAAAAGAGCAACTTTTTTGACACTGAATGCATCTAAGATGTCTGATAATTAAGTGCTAGGCTCAACACACAACTCAGGATATAAATAACCATAATTTAAACTTAGAAGATGATTGATCATGTTGACCCTGATCTAAACCTCCATAATCTGACACCCAATCAAAACCTATTGGAAAGTAACTGCCTTTATTACACAGCATCACAAGCCATCACTATCCTAAACAATGCTAAAAGTCTATCAGTACTTAACTACAACATCAGGTCCTTAAGCAAACACTATGATGACCTCCTAGCACTCCTTGAATCACTAAAGACACCCTTCTCCTGCATTATTCTTACTGAGACCTGGCAGGACACAATAGATATCTACCCTCTACCAGGATACACAGCAATCCACAACTGCAGACCATACCAAGTTGGGGGTGGTATTGCAATCTATTACTCTAACCAATTATCTTGTATTAGCACCACTTGCTTTAGTGATGAATATGGGGAATACATTTTTGCTAATTTTACTGTAAAAAACCTTAAGACAGCCTATAACAATCGGTGCCATTTACGGATACCTCACACAAACATCCAATTTCAGTGAGAAATTAAAGTCACTAATAACAAACAGACAATGAATAAGCACCACCTTCTCTTAGCTGGAGACTTCAACATCAACCTTGGCTTACTAGATGATCAGCCTGTAACTGATTTCATCAACAATATGAACCAACACACTTCTCATACCAATACAATAACTAAACCAACCAGGCTCACTGAGACAAGTGCAACCATAATAGACCCACATATGGACCACATATACTAGCCCCCCTTAAATCAGGGATAATCACAGAAGCTACAGACCACTACCTATCCTTCCTCGACAAACATTAGTAAACCACCACTTGAATCAAAAAAAAGTCTCCCTTTAGGACTCCAAAACGAGGCTCGTAAAGGGAAATTCAACAGCTGACCTAGAGATGTTGATGCCTACAATTCTCCAAGGCCAATGTATTGAACTGGACAGACATTTTTCTAACAAAATTTCTTAGGGCATACAACAAAACATTGTCCCATAAAAAAAAACAGATCAAAAAACAAACGGCTTGGTTGCCCAGGAACCCGCCCCTTCTGAAATCCCAATTGAAAAAAACACCAAATATGAAAAGCAATTTTTAGGACAGGGCTTAAAACCAAAGAATTCTTAAAACACTATTCATGCTCTCACCAAAAATAAGAAAGCCCAAACAAACTATACTATCCAGCAGATTCACAGACACAAGAGGAGATATAAAAAAAAACCTGGAAAACACTCTCTCAGATTCTAGGGACCCCCAAACTGAGAAAAACCAAGAATATTGTCCTAACTAAACCTAACGAAACACCACTAATCCCACTGACACAGCTAACAAGATAAACGACTTCTTCTCAACCATAGGATTTTAATCTCGCCAGTAAAATCCCACATACCAATGCCCATGCCGGGGACTACCTAGATGGGAATTTCCCTAATTCCTTCTATCTTGCACCAACTGAGCCCACGGAAGTCACTGAGATTAAAAAGTCACTTAAAAATAACTTGGGGAATCTTTCATGTCCCACCATTACTGTACAAGCGAGCGGCCCATGTCCTTTCGCATGCTATTTCATTATTTTTTAACAAGTCACTAGAGACTAGCACCTTCCCGAAACTACTCAAGATGGCAAGGGTTACACCAATACATAAGGTGGTGACCCTACAGACTTAAACAACTGTAGGCCAATATCTAACTTACCATTGCTATCCAAAATCTTTGAGAAACTCGTGCACAGGAGACTGTATTCATTTATAACGGCTCAAAACATACTCAACCCCTGCCAATTTGGATTCAGGAAAATAAAAGCACTAATGATGCAATCATAAAAATGCTAGATCTGCTTTACACAGCATTGGAAAATAAGGAATATCCACTAGGAATTTTTATTTGACCCTAAGAAAAGCTTTTGACACAGTAGACCACGACATCCTACTCCACAAACTTGATCATTACGGTATAAGAGGCCATGCGCTTGCTTATTTCAAATCTTACATTACTAATAGGTATCAGTACGTCACCATTAAAGACACAGCATCAGCAACACGGCCACTTGATACTGGAGTTCTGCAGGGAAGTGTCCTTGGTCCCCTGCTCTTCCTCATATAGTACATCAATGACCTTCCAAACGTATCCCAACACCTGAAACCCATTCTCTTTGCTGATGACACGACTTATGTCATCTCTCACCCTAATCTTGCCACCCTCAACACCATTGTGAATGAGGAGCTATTAAAATATCGTTGGATGACAGCCAATAAACTTACGCTTAACACTGACAAAACCTACTATATTATGTTTGGTAGCAGAGCAGGAGATGCTCAAATTAACATTAAGATTGACAACACTCTAATTACCAGAAATAATGGGGGCAAATTCCTAGGCTTATACCTTGACAACAACCTGAATTTCAGCACCCATATCCAGCATATAACCAAAAAAGTATCCAAAACGGTTGGGATCCTCTCCAAGATACGATACTACGTGCCGCAAAATGCCCTTCTCAACACTATACCACTCATTATTTATCCATACCTCACCTATGCTATTTGTGCTTGGGGATCAACTGCAGCAACACACCTAAAGCCAATAATAACCCAACAAAAGCTGCAGTAAGAATAATCACTAAATCCCATCCCTGGCAACACACCCCCCACTCTTCATAGACCTAAACTTACTCCCAGTTCAGTACATCCACACTTACTACTGTGCAATCTACATCTACAGGGCCTTAAACTCTAATATCAACCTTGACCTAAAACGCTTTCTTGATAGTTGTGACAGAACCACAGGCATAACACCAGACACAAACATCTCTACGACATTCCCCGTTGTCCGACTAAACCTTTACAAAAATTCAATGTATGTCAAGGCCCTAAAATCTGGAATACCCCACCTGAGAACTCTAGAACTGCAGACACATTCATCACCTTCAAAAACTACCATTAGAAAACATCTTATCTCCCTGATACACCCCGTCAACTAACTACACGAATACCACCTGGTGGTTCACACTTACACTCACTCACTCATTTGACCATAAACAGAAATATTAATCTCAATCTTAAAATAATGAATCCTGTGATACTCCAATACTGAAACTATGTACTGTGCCAAAACAAAAGCATTCACATTGCTAAACTCACAAAGTAGTATTTAGTCACTTAGCCATAATACCAACTTACCTCATAATTTGTAATATTTTACAATTAAGAATAAAACTAAGTCTGCCCGAAATGCCTAGCCATGCTAAGCGTTCTAGTGGTACACTCTGTAATCACAATTTTACTACATGTAAACCACACAATAACCAAATTTCTGTTAACTCAGCATTGTAATCCTTATAGAGAATAAACTTGGAATTTGAATTTGAATAAAAAAAAAGATACAAAAGTAAATGCAAGTACATACAATACTTAAACTAAAATATGTTACAGATTGCCCTTCCCTTACACAACTATGGCATGAAAATGGTAAAAACAGAGGAAAAAGCACCAAATATAATGAACAATGGCGTAAATAAAAACTACTGAAAAAGAGGGAGCTGAAAATGTGGGGCCCTCCTGTAGTAATAAGATATACCTGCTACAACACACAATAACTTTCAACCCTCCCTGCAACCTTTCCTTTCTTTTCTAGGCATTACACACTCTCTTAATTGTCTTATTCTGCATCATCATCTCTAAATGTTCAACCTAGATCAATTACCTCTAATCTGCCCACTAAATAATATCTTTTGCAACCCATCCCATCTTTTAATTCTCTGCGAAATATTCACCTCATGTATTGCTCTTAACCCTTTGAGGGTCCGTGCCGTAGATCTACGGCTGTACGTTGAGGGTCCAAATCGTAGATCTACGCCATGAGCTCAGCTGACTCTGATAAGCTGTGAGCAGTAAATCTGGGCCTAGATATGAGAGAATACATCTATGTGGTATGTGTGCACCACATAAAACAAATCCTGCAGCACACAGTGCATAATGAGAGAAAAAAAACTGAAACGTAATTTTCGATTAAAACAGTGACTGTGCAGTGTTTTTCGTATGTTTTTTATAGTTGTATTTGCAATTTCTTGGTCTCATTTGATAGAATGGAAGATATATTACAAAAATAGAGATGATTCTGATTGGTTTTAGTAATGGAAATGGGTTGAAACTGAGCTCAAAATAGCAGAAATGTTAAATTTTTGCTGATGTTCAAGAGTAAACAAATGATCCCACACGTCTAATACACACCAGCTGGTAGGTCTAATATACGTTCACAAATGTGGTGATATTATTTATACAATTATTACAGTATTGCATAACAGTAAATCTTCCATTTTTTGGTTTGAATAAAAATTCATTATGTGAATAAAAAATAAAAATGGAATTCATTTGTAAAGCCTGAAAACATAACTAATGAAGAGAGGAAATGTTAGTTTAGTTCCAGGAATGTCTGCATTGTTTATTCTGGATCCTATTTTGAAATTAGAATATTTTGAACTTTGCATTAAATTAGCCAAATTACCAATTTCCGATCACTTTATTTTGCAGTTGAAACAGTTGACTTGGCGATTTCTTATGCTTAATCGATAGAATAGAAGTAATACTAGTGAAATAGCTAAGAATTTGGTCGAGTGGAGTAATATAATTGGCCTAAAACGGGAGTCAAAGTCGGCAA